AAGCAGCACATAATTTCAAGTTGTCGTACACCTACATAAAAAAAAAAAAGTTTTAAACATTTGAATATGCATCAGGCTTTCTATATACTTGAAGAAGTGTTGCAGAAGGAAGAAAGAAACCATTAAACTGACACTGCAGACTATAGAGGGAACTGTCTAGATTAAAGAAAAACAAGCATGTTAAGCCCTAGTCCTTTTGTATTAGCTTATTCCAAGCACAATATGTATTTATGGTATAGTATTTACAGAAAATTTTTAAAGTGTAAATCTAAATAAATATAAAATAATTACAGTTTACTAAGATTTTAAAGCTTCACAATGAAAGCTTGAAACTCCCTCCTTATCTAAGCAAAGAACAATTAGCCAACATTATGTATTGAAATCCCTTGTGAAAGATGGCCAATTAAACGTTCAGGGAATAAAACAGTATACACCCCACCTACTCTTTCACAAGTCTGGTATCCAGAAAAAGTCAATATGCCATGTCGCACATGCATTACAGAAGCCCCTTAATAAAGATGAAAGAGCTAACAGTATAAATAATTAAAAAAAAAATAAATCAACTACATGCTACACCAAAACGAGTGTTTTTTTTCCCTCTAGATGTAAACAGGAAAACAGCTTATTAACACGCATTTCCCCCCCAAAGGTCCAAAAGAATTTAAAAAGCAAATACTTTGAAAGATGCCTTTAAGGTATGCAAGGTGGTTTAAAAAACAAACAAAAAACCAAAACACACACAAAACCAGACAAACAAACAAAAACCCACAATTTAGTACTTACTATGGAACTGCAATTTATTTTACAAAGAAATTAGTTATTTGCACATGAAAATCCTTTGCTTATTACATTTAACTGTTCTCTTTTTAAGGAAAGACAACTGCTACCGGATACAGAACTGATGAAGATCAAAGATGGGGGGGAGGGGAACAGCACCACAGTAAGGTTGGTTATTTTTAATTGAACTAGAATAACTTTCCTTCACCTGGAGTCATTTTTAGAAACACTAGTTTTTGCAAGAATATGAAATAGGTGCACATGTACTGAAAGTGTCATTCATTTTTAAGAATGCCCAAGAGAAAATTTTAGCAGCTGCTTTAAGATGTTAACAGGAACGATGGGAATGATACAAGGTCTCACCTGACATAGTACCAACACCAATCACAAGACATTCCACAAGTGCATCCAGTGTAAACGTAGGGCCTAAAATTGCCATTCCACGTGAAATATTTTCTCTTACTTCATCCTAAAAATAAAAATTTCTGTACATTATCATAAAGACAAAAATCAAAGGGAGTGCACATAACACGATTAGTACATGATTAGTAAATGGAGTAATATTATGGTGATAAGGCCTTATAAAACAGACGTGGAAAATGAACTATTATGAGAGAACACATTAATTGCTTCATTTCCCATAAGCTATTATACTTTGACAGTCTTTATCTACACAACAAGATTATTTAATTTTGAAAGTCTCCACCTTTGGCTCATCAGTATTCTAAGCTCCTACAACACTGATGGGCACAGACTTTAAAGTACATTCAGAAGAACAGGACTTCTACACTTTAAGATATAAAATAGAAGCCACTTATGTCATGGCATCTCAAAAGTTCTTGCAACCACATATCTGTACCCTAACTTTTATTTATTTATTTTTTTAATTATTTAACTCTCTAGACTCAGCTGTCAGAAAAGAGGACATAAAAGACACTAAAACTTTCCCCTGGGGAGAAAGGGATTTCCTCCAGAAGCCAGGCATGGAAAATTCTAGAGGTCTGCTGCTGTTTTGTTGTTGTTGGTGGTTTTGGGGGGGAGGAAGAGAGAAGTTATGGTGAAAACCTATTTGTGAAATACTTTCTTGAAAATTAATAAAGAATTCTGTACTCGTATATTATTATATAATAATATACAACACACTATAATATCGCATATATAGAGAATGTACAATATACTCATATATACAATATGTTATAGTATATTATTGTATGTTATATTGTATTTTTTGTCACAATTATTATGCTCAATTACCATGTACAGTATTTTGTAGGTATAAATTAATTTCACTAAAAATACTTTTCAGAACTTCGAATATTAGATGACCATTCCAATGTATGATGGGCGATCCTTCATGCTGTGCTGTGTTAATTGCATTACAGCATGAATATGTATCTATCTACACATATGCCATGTTTGTTCTGCTAAGACTTTTGTCTAGAAAATATGCTTTTTTCTGTATTGGCATTATAACATTAAACGTCTATTTATATACTGCTCCTGAGCCCTACAAATTAACTTTTTTCTATCAATAAATGGAAGACAGGTCTAGGAACTCTAGCCTCCTTAATAGAGCTTATAAGCATTGCTGTTTAAAGTTCTGAACCTATAAAGTACTCATACGTGTAATTAACTTGGCTCACATGATTATGCACACTAATTTTACAGTGTTGTTATTCACTTGAACACTGATCTGAATAAAAGACAATACAGAATATAGAATATGGATTAAATCTGATCCTTTTTATGTATCGCCAATACATTATTCACCTGTATGTGTCTCCACCTGGATTATTCATCTTTGAATATTAAATTCAAAAGCTCCATTGCAAAAACCAACCAAACAAAAAACCCAACTAAACAAACAAAAAACCAAACAAAGAAACCCCCGACCTGTGAGTTGGAACTGAGCGCAAATTTGGCTAATGCACTTGCTCTTGAAAGATCAATCAGAAGCAGGAAGAATGGTAAAGCTTCACTGAAAGAGAGGCATATGTTAAGAGTAAAATTCAAGGTTTACTGTACAAAAGAAAAAAAATTCAAGCAAGAAATCCAGAATAACAATTCATTACTTACTTTAAACCTGTCAATTCTTTATCCAAGAAGTGAATTACCACTGTACTAAAAACAAAACTTGAGAAGATTGTGAAGAGGCCAGCAATACCTTTTAAAAAAAAAAAAATTGGAAATTTGTTTTTTATATATATTGGGAGAGAAAGGAGAAAAAAAAAAAAAGGAAGAAAGTAATGCTATGCCTTTAGATCAATTCTGAAGCAAACAAATGACAATTCTCAGAGTGCATAAACAGCAGTTGAGGTACAAACTGATGAGGATGCTATTTTTACACAGATATTTAAATCTAAAATTTGTACTGCATTCAAAGTAAGACTGTGAGAAATAAAAGCCACAAATCTTCTCATTTATCAGCAAAAATGAAAACTGGCTTAAACAGCTCTATAAACTAAAAAAACCCAAAAAAAAAGCAAAAAGGAAAAAAAAAAAAAAAAAAAAACCAGATACAGTACCTAAAATGTATTTTGATCCAAGCTGCCTTAGGTTCTGAAACTGGAAATATATATAAAGGATTGCTATACAGCGCGTGATTGTCAGGATGATGACGTCACTGCTCAGAACATTCTGTTTGAAATACAAAGTGATTTAGTTTTCCTTCTGTAGGCACATCACTGCTTGCATGCAGCTTTAATATCCAGCATGGGAAAAGAAGGCAATAAAAAAGTTTCTGTATAGCTACTTTCCTCCTAATACATCACAACCTGATCTTATTCTACAGAAAACCCTTAATCTACAGATTAACAGTAAGTACTATAACATGAATTTAAATTCTTACTTCTTCAAGTCTGGCACTCATAAGTTTCGGGCACTCATAATTCCAGCCACAGATCTTATCATTCCCAGTGAACATCTTCATGGACATCATACAGATGGTGAGAGTCACTGTTCCCACAATGACTTCCCATGGGTGAGAGGCTACAAAAAGGCCATGCATTCGAAAGAGTCTGGACAACATTTTCAAGACTGTTTTTCTATACTTAGCAAACCTGCAACAAAAGAATATTTCATATAAGCAAGTATGAGATTCAGGGAAAAAGGATAGAGCTATCTGAATTCTTGCAAGTCATCTCAGGAAAAAAAAAAAAACAAAAAACAAACCAAAACCGGTTAAGTAACAGATGAGTAAGGAAACTCATCTTCACCTTTCAACTCTCCATGTAAAACACATTAGTTTCTAATCTTCTGAAATACAATATGATCTGCTCCTGCCTTCTCAATCCTTTTTTTTAATACACATCTCCCTTGTTTCTTCAAAAAGTTTTACTAATAAGACTCCACCACTTTCATGACATCTCTTAGTATCTTCCTGTCACACAATTTTGATAATACCACTTCGACTCCAACTTCTTGTTTTTACCACCTCTTTATGTAAGCACTCACTAAATTCTGTTACTTCTTTCTACTCATTCTTCCTATCAAAAATATTGATTAACTTTATTTTAACTATATAAATTACCAACAAACCATTGTTGGTAATGCTCAACTTTTTTTTTAGCAGGAATTGCAATGTTATCTTCCTCTAATTGTGTCTTCTCTACTTTCTGCTCAATATTCTTCAGTGGTTCAAGTTAATCACATTTAAAACAGTTCTTTCTTCATCTGAAACACATGAATCCTTCTCACATATAGTATTCTGTGACAGTTTTCTTGTACCCATAACTAATTCCCAGGTTACTGATGCATTTCATCATCCCCTTTGATTTAAATAGATAACATTCAACAGAAACTCTCACACCTTTCTCTCACATAACTGAGAGCATAGATATTCTGTACAAAAACTGCATCCTAGTCTTTGCTCTGTGTTGCACCTTTAGACGAGTTCATCAAGGATGTTTACTCATGAAACATAGATAGAAACAAAATGCCATAAAACACTCTCTTAAATACATTAGTACTGGGACTTTGCTTTTCTCATTGCACGAATTCAACAACTTATAAGACTCTCTGATGAATGTTAACTATATAACTATATCCTAGAGTTCAAAAGATGCTTAAATAGTAGTCTGACTTATAGAGACATTCTGTAGTTCAGTATTTACATGTACGAACCTAGCACTGCGGAGATTTCCATAGAGGACTGAGGGCTCTACACACTGTCACTTCAAAGTGCCTTAAAAGTAACAATCAGGCTTCTGGGAAGACAGTCTTTCTAGTATTACTTCTTTTGCTTGGATATCATAAATGAAGCTGTCATTCAATGGAGAAAATAATAGACAGGGCAAATCTATCTGCTTAGTGTTACTGAAAATACCAGAATCATCTTGATTCCCTATCAATGCCAATCTTGATCATATGAGCATCAATAGCACCAATATATTTTTTTTGTCCTTCCATGGTGAAGGTGTGGCAGGATTTTCACGGCTGATGGAACCAACTGGGGAAAATAATTGAGAGGACTGCCTTCCTTATGAACAAATTCTTTCATTTCCTGACAGAAGGCTTTTTTAAAACAAAACAAAACAAAACAAAACCCAAAAACCAACCAAACCACCCCCCCCCAACAACAAACACAACAAAACTCCTTTTAAAGTCAACATTATCCTTAGTTTTTCCCTGTGTAGTATAATCTACATACTGTTTTGTAAATTTATGTTCTGTTCCAAAGTGGTATTATGGTTTTTCCTTAGCAGCATAGAAGGTATCTTTTAATTAGGAGAACTAAAATAAGACATAGCCAGAGGAATATCTTAGTGCCAAAGATTTTGAAACAAAGCAAAAAATAGAAAAGGCATAGCAATATCGTATGAAAACACTAATACTTTTGAATACCACACTGTTTCAGGAAAATCAGAATTAGTACTTACTACATGACTATATGGGGTCCTACCAGTCCTAAAATTAGTAATACAATTCCTAAATTCTGACAGTTGGAATTATTATCTAGGCAATTAACAAACTGTTATTAGATCTAGAAAGATTCCAAAATCTTTCTTCAGATATTACTTCTCACATTTCTAAGCAAAACTAGTAAGTGTAAAATGGCTTCACAAAAATCAGTTACGGAAAAATACATTCATTTGATGATGAAAGTAACTCTCCATAATATCTATTATTAGCCAATGTTTTATAATTAACTGCTGCTATGAAATACAGGATGCCTCACTGCTGATGCTGGGGTTAACTGAGTAGCAGTAACTCCTAATCTAAAAGGGTTCTTTAAAGCCTTCATGTTCATTTAACCTGCCTGAAGTGCATCTTTTATTTTTTTGCTATGCAATTGGCATTTCTAGAAAATATTGATGAAGATTTCATATACTCATTCTGCTCTACTGAGTGCTGTAAAAGAAAAATTCAGTGCATATTATCAGCTCGTATTCTTAATTCTCTTTAAAAATATTTTTATAGCTACACTGACTTATAGCTTGAAATTAGCAAGACATAACTTTATATTTAAAGCTGAAGTTTATCATTAATATAATTTGTTAAATTTCAAAATGGTGGTTCAAAAGGGATACTTTATAAATCCTATCCATTTCCTGCTTGCCTTTGTTTTCAATCAAAAATTTCCAGGAGATTTACATAAAGCAATCCATTCTGGGAATCAAAACAAAATACAAACAAAAAAACCCCAACTGCAACCCCTTCAAAAACCTAACCAGAGTGTAAAAAGCAAACTAGATTGGTTGTATGTAATGCTTATAGAGCATTAATCTGCCACTTAACTGTATGACTATTCAGCTTAAATAGCTAAGATTTATCACACAGCTCTCACTAACCTCAGAGCAATCCTCTGCAACACCATCTATTAGTTCAGCACAAATTTCCCATCTCTTGTTGGCTGAGTCAGCAATATCTGCAGTATTATAAAGGAATCGAGTAGCAAAAATAGCTGAGCAAAAACCTGTGCGGAGCCCACCTGAAAAGCATATGACACCACACAGACCGTGTCAAACTGTCAGGTAGCGTTGTTTGTTTTTTTTTAAAAATGGAAACCACACTCACGCAGGCCCATCACTGTAGCCCCTCAAACCCCTTGCGAAAGGCTGGGGA